CGGAGCTACTAAAGCAGCCGCGGCGCTAGTCGGGGGCAGTTGCTGCTGAAAGTATCTTCAAGATATTTTTAATACATGCACGCGACTTTGTACACTTGCACACATATACACATATACATATGTATGTTTGTATGTATGCATGTACATTTGATGTTGGCCTTACTCTGGTTTTTGTTGCTTCTGTTGGCAGCATAATGAAATACATTCCAGCCACATACATATAAGCGCAAATATGTAGTGCATTTCGTATATTTTGTTTTCTCAAAATGTGCTGCAACATTTTGCTTTAAATATTTATTGACAACATTTGCATATTAAGCGTCAAGCCCCGCAAAAACATAATGTCGCTTATTTGCATTTGGTTTGCATTTGTGGGCCCGGCACAAAAGTCAAACTACAGTGAACTCTGGCCACAAATGACTTTCAGTCTCGTGAACTACGCCCCTTTGATGTCTGTCATGTTAACTGGTTTTCGATGCGCATTCGCCTGACAAGACACCCCCAAAGCGTAAGTGTAAGTTGTTTCCTTAAATTTGAATAGATTTTGCAATTCAAATTAGCTGCGGCAAAGGAGGGTGAGGGGGTTGGGGGTCAGCAGCTGGCTAGTTGGGGGTGTTCGGCGGCATATGGCACTGCTTAAGATACGTTTTTCTCATTACGTTTCGAGGACAGAGCACTTATTGGCCACTTTTGCGCCTATTGGAAACTCATTAGTTGCTTCGATTAGGGCAAGCTTAAACTAATAATGTGGCTGTTGTCTCTGCAGCTCTGGCCGTGCCAGGCTCAATTGAAAAATTTCAATTTATGCCAAAGTGAGAGCGACCATGTTGGCAGACAAGTGGCGAGCAGACAACCAATTACGGCGCCCGGGCGCAAAACCAATCTCAATCTGAGGCATCAAGTAGACAAATATAGACTATGCCCATGCATTCACTAGTTCTTGTGCATGTGTGTGGGTGTGTCTGCTTGTAGTCTCCATTTGGTATTCAAAAACTGTGCGTCTGTGTGATTTGACGCATATTTGCCAAGCCCCAACACGCTCACACACACACACATACACACACACGCATCGACTGGCAGACAAGTGAGCTACAAATGTAGCTGCGAGATACATTTGAGGCTTTGAGGCAGCGGCAGCGTCAGCCTGTGCTCAAAACTGAAACACACACAGAATTGCTTCATTTTGCAAAAGGCTTTTATTAAACCAGAAACGAAGTCAAGCCCAGGCACCAGCTAAAACCTAAAACCATGGCAAACCTTTTGTCGATAAAGGGACCTAGGTGCGGCAGCGGGAGCGGATGCGGCGTGTGGCGTTCATTCTGGCAACGGCTGTGCGTCTGTGGCTGCCACTGCGGCTGTTGCCAGTCTCTTCAAGGCAGGCAATCGAAGTGTGTGCCTCTGACTGTGACTGTGCCTGTGCGTGCCTAGTTATGGTAAATATTCATATTTGTAACGTATGCACAATGTGTTGAAATTAGCATTTATGAATTTTGTGCCAAATGTCGAAATGGAACTGAAACAGACGTCGCAGCCGGAATGCTCCTTTGTACTTACTTATGCGGCGCCACAAACCCAAGAGCGAGTACACTCACACACACACACACGCACACACACACACAACTACACCCAACTACTCGTCAAATGACTTGGCCCGCTCATTTACCGCCCGTTGCCGGCTGCATTATACGCCAGATTCTAGGTAATGGTTTTTGTGGCTCTTTTTGGTCCCAAAAGCGTTCCTTTGGCCAGCCATTTGCATTTAGATTGCGTCGCCAAAGTGTGCTGCCAGGACCTGTCCGGCCACTGAGTGACATCTGTGCCTTATGATTGTTGCCCCGACAAGTTGTAGGCCTTGCGGTGAGTGTAAACAACCGGACGCAGTTCATGTTACGGGCTTCGATTACCATAATTATGAGCTCAACGTTTAACTTTGCCATGACGGCAGCTTCAAGAAAACAGTTCAAACAATATGTTTCTCCAAAACGAACGTGGTCTGGAATCTTAGCTAACAACTCTTACGTATTATTGGGGAATTGGGTAAATATAATACTATTATACCAGATCAGACAATTTATATGACATGTTTTAGAGACCCGATTTCGAGTAAACTAATTTTCTTTAGTATTTTTTTTTATTCAAAACATTTCTATATGTTAACTCTGACAAGTGGGAGGAAAATAATATTGATAATTGATACCCAAAAGTTAAGATTTACTTTCTATACCCTAAATCGATTGAAAATCGATAAAAAGGGTATAATAGTTCTATGAAAATGTATGTAACAGGCAGAAGAAAGCATATCCGACCTTATAAAATATGTATACAGCATCAAAAGCCGAGTCGATCTAGCCATGCCCGTTTGTCTGTCCTTCTGTCTGTCCATCTGTATAAACACGTCAATATAAGAACCGCTTATTGCTGGAGACTTTTAATTTTGAACGTAGGGAAACTAAGAACTACCTGATATACCTCTTGCGCCTTGTCCTCCCTATATAAACTATCCCTGTATAAAGTTGCTCTTATTTATTTAAGAAATGACCACTTAGACCAGATTCAAGGCTCGGTCATTTCCCATCGACGCATTTCCCAGGCTGCAAAATGTTTTCATAAGTCCCCATATATTTTCACACAACTTTCCCCTGTCAACTTTCGAGCCTCGATAAAAATAATATATCGACAGGCGCTGCTTTGTTTTTACAACAAATGCGAACACGTTTTTCATCCTTTTATGTGCATTACATTTGCTGCATTGTTTTTATTGGTAATACACAATTGGCTTTTGATTTTTATTGAAGGCCAAACAACATGGGGCGAACACCACAAAAAGTATTATGACAATGAAAATATATTAAAAAATACTTTTTGTCAACCATTTGCCATTGGCTGATTGGCTTTTGAAAGCCTTTACTCTGTTGACTTGTCCATAAAAATCAAACAGCAATCGTGTTTTATATATTTTGCGATTGAGTGGATATTCAATTTGCATAATGTTCAGTTAAGCGATTTGCCAAACGGTTCATAAATAGTTAAAGAGCTTGTCCGTTAAGAAAATGATTGGGATCTGGTTTCGTCTAAAAGTTTGCTTGGCTTAAGAATTTCGTTTCCAGCTTTGGGATTTTATAATTTTAAGGATGTTTAATATCTATTTGAATATTTACTTTTGGGTCTTAAGTTCAGGTCTGGTTTTTTCACAAACCATTTTTTATTTACATAAATTTCCTTTTTAATCATTTTTTTTGTAAGCTGTTTGCCAGACGTTGGCCGGATGGCCATTACTTCTGGACATGGCGCTATTTAATTACGTAATTTGTTCATTTAAAAGCGCGACCGGATCCTTGAAGCGACACGGTCAACACTTTCGTAGCGTGTGGAAATGCCACTCGATTATTTATAGTAAAAAAAAGTGAGTTCGGTGACAGGACATGGGTAGAAGGACTTAACGCCAAGACACTTTTGCCAGTCATTTGCATTGCAGTGGGGCAGGAGGGGAGGGCGGGGTTTACACTTGTTTTAGTCCTTGCAGCATTTGATTAATGATGTGGGCCTGCGTAACGATTCGAGTTGAGTTTCAGTTGCCGCTGATGTGCATTTTAAAAGCGTGTAAAAGAAATTACTTATGTGTATGCACATGTGTGTGTGCCTGTCTGTGTGTGAGTCCGGATGCATTGCTGCTCGCAAGATTCAATGGTGGTTAGTGCTCTGGCCATGAACCGTGTGGTGGTGTGGCCTAGCCCTTTGTTTAGCTACTTTCACGTCTCGGCCTTCGACTCCCTCCCGTTCCGCGGCAGTATCGGTGTCGCAATTGGGGTATAATCTGGTTAGCGGCACAAATGATGACGAGCGGTAAGGGAAAAGGACGACGACGACGACGAGGACGACAACATTTAAGCACAATTGCTGTGGCTAATGTGACACATATTGTGACAAATTGCATGAGCCTGTTGGGCTAAGGGTGGGGCAATGGGTACGGCTATGTAAACACGTGCTGCACTGCGTTAAAATTCATTAAGGGCAGAAAGTTTCAAATCACGTTAACTTATCAAGCTTGTAGTATGCAAAATCTCGACTCGTTTGATCGCTTTCACCCAATACATATAACTATACCTACTCATTATGGTCAAAAACATGTCCCCAAAAGTTTTTGTTGGCTTGATCAAGTTGTGAATATACCACAAGCAGAATGTGGCTCTCTGTTACTTTTAAGCATATATATTCTGCATTTACTCCAACTTATTCCCATTTCTTTCAATTGTTGCCTTTTCTAAATGAATTGTCAGTCTGTTTCTTCCCATTGCTTCTCATTTATTTCCGATTTCGCTCAGTTCATAACATACATATCTATCCCAATGATATATCTTATGTACTTTAACTCATTAAATAAATATGTTGCCATATAAAATGTGAATTCTTACAGTCTCTTTAATCTTTCTATATCATGGTATTCCAAGATATATGAAATATAGGAACTACACAAACCAAATTTAGCTTAACGATAGTTTAAGTAAATATTAACACTCAAATAATACTTCTTGAGCTCTTTTCGTTCACTAGAATAATTAATTTTAGTTTTTTTAAGAATTTGAATTGAATTCAATGCTGTGTTCTGGCCCCGCCCCCATGGACTTATTGCATGCCAATAGTAAGTCTGTGGCCCACAGACATTGCAGTCGCCCCCCGATTTCAGAAAGCCATGGTGGCGGATGAGCTGATGGGGGATGATGGGGGTCGCTTGAGTCAGCGATTGACAGTGACAGGCCGGCGCTGTCAACAGGGTCACCCGGGCGCACACATAGAATGCAGCCGAACAATGCCTGACGAATCGGTATTTTACGCCCATTTTAAGCATTATGCCCATCTCGGGGGGGTTGTGGCTGCTGCTGTGTTAAATGCTTTGTTCTTGTCAACTGAGTGGAACGAATTTGAAGGCTGCACCTGCAGGACAACCAAAAAGTCTCGCAACCTTGCGCTGGGTGGTTGCACCGGATACCCGAACGATACTGGGATCGTGCTCGTGCTCGGGTTTGGGTCCTGCACGTGCTGCTGCATTTGGCGAACGGTTCCGCACCACTATCTCAAGCGAGTTTCTAGCACATTAACATTTTGTTTATTTTACAAATACTAATTTTGATTTTGGCTTAAAATTGTTGCAATCTGCAGGCGAGACTAGTGGTCCATGGATTCCTTGCTGCTGCCACCGCCGCATTCGCCGTAGGCGCCCAGCTCCTCGGGCCTGAAATAGGAGCTCTGCATGCTATAAAGCCGATCGATCGGATTGATCATTGGCGTTTGCGTAAAGGGACCCATCAGCTGCTGAAATGTGGCATAGCTCAGGCCAAGGATGGTGTTCAGGATGGGCTCACTGTTCTTGTTGCAGTTTTCTGTCGATTGTCAGAGATTTGGTTAAGCTGACATTTTGCTGGAAATTTTGCTGCTTTGGCACTTACCCTTGTTGGTTTCCATGCAGCTTAGAGTGCCCTGCTCCTGTTCGTCCTTGATGTTGCAACGCAGCCTCGTCAGTCCGTCAGAGTTTGTGGAGAATGGCGACTCCTGTTGCGACTCGCTATCACTGTGCGCTTCATCCTTGATTTTGGTTGTCAAGCTGCTGTCATGCGACTCCTGCGAGTCCTGTGAGTGCGAATCGCTGACACCCTTTGCAGGCGGCTCCTGTTTAGCCTTTTTCTGTATTTTCTTAACTTTGGCGCGCTGATTTTGAAACCAAACCTAAGAAGGTATTTCAATAGAATATAGTACAAAAATATTTTAATATGGTATAATATTTACCTGTACAATCCTTAGACTCAGGCCTGTGTCCTTGGCTAGATTCTCTCTCACCTTTCGACAGGGCTTGGGTGATACTTCAAAGGACGCTTTGAAGGCACGCCGCTGCTGGGTATTCAGTATGGTACGTGGTCGTTTGGGGCCTCGTCGTCCATCCATTTTAGGTGGGAACAGGTCATCGCCATAATAATCTATAAGCATATGCCATTAGACACAAGTGGGAACAAATCGATTGGATGACTCACCATAGCCCTGTAGCATCTCCACCTCCTTCTCGTAGTCGAAGCGGCAGAAGAGCTGTCCCTGCTTGACCACGTACTGCTCGCCCTTCTTGAGCAGCGCCCCACAGACGACGCAGGCAAAGCACTTCAGATGGAAGATATTCTCTTGCGAGCGCATCACAAGTTCATCGGCGGCAATCTTATGGCCGCAGCCAAGGCAACGATTACGCAAGTAGAGTCTGTGAATTGGAATCTCTCTTTACTGGTCACTGTGACAGCCAGACCCACCAACCCACCGCCCCACCGACCCACCGACCGACCCACCTACCTTTCGTAGTCAATGCGACAGTAGAGCTTGCCGTCCCGCGCATAGCAGGAGTGTACCAGATGCAGCGAGCAGGCGGTGCACTTGAGGCAACCCTCGTGAAACGAGTTGTCCACCACTCGCATGATATAACGATCACAAATTGGCTGGCAGCAGTAGGTGCACTGGTTGAGCGCTGGGCCCATGCTAATGCCCATGCCCATGGCCAAATCCCCGCCCATGGCCATGCCCATGACCGTGTGCTGCTGCTGAAGCTGAGGCGCTTGCGGTGTGTGCGGTGCTGTTGAGGATGTCGGCGGCGCCGTCGACGCTGAAAAGCCATCCAAGTCATTGAGACTGCATTCGCCCAAGGTGACGCGTTGGCTCAGCTGCATTGGCGGACCCGGCCCCGGTCCCTGTCTAGCCATTGTCATCGTCAGAGCTTGCTGTTGTGCGGTGGCCATGCTGCTGCTGTGGTTGATACAACTTCCGTTGACATTTCGGCTGGCTGACGCCATTTTGTCATTGTGGGAGTTGGCGGCTCCTGCTGCTGCTCCTGCTGCTGTCTTGCTGGCTGTTGGCTGACAGGACGCAGTTGCTGTTGTTGCTGCTGTTGTAGTTGTTGCTGCTGCTGCTGGTATTGTTAACATGCGCTCATTTCCGTGCAACAGCAGTTGATTGTGCCCCATTGCAATGGGTCCTGCGGCCGGCTGCTGCGTGTGTCCAGCTCCAGTTACATGCTGCTGCTGCTGCTGTGGGTGGTGCTGGTGTTGGTGATGCTGCTGTTGACATTTGATGTCCATTGGAACTATTTTGGTTTTTGCGGTTGTGTCGTGGACCGGGCCCAAACATGCAAATGAGAAACATTTCAGTTATTTTTATTTTCACATTGGCATGCAAATTGCGGGCAAGCGTGTGCGCCCGCCTCAAATTTACAACTGCGGCCAGTTGTCCGTGGCAAAAACTATGTCCCAAGCGGGATTTGCATTTGCGGTTCCACTTGGAGAGATGCTGCTCCCCACATACACACACGCACACACACACGCACACAGCGAGTGTAATTGTGAGTGTGACCATTTGCCAACCATTTCGAGTTGTAGTAAATTTGTGGTTTTGCAATTATTGAAATGACTTTTGTAGCGAAATATGTGCGTGACCGTCCGTATGCATATGTCTGTCTGTCTGTCCCATTGTCCGTCTGTTTGGCCGCACTGCAAAATTCCACGCACTTGCTTTTATATGGCAAACGCAGCGTATACGTATTGTTGTTTGTGCGAGTGCGGTTGTTCGAGTTGGTGGCAAAAAATGACTGTACATTTGTGGCATTTGTTGCTGCTGTTGCTGCTGCTGCTGCTGTTGGCTGTTTGGTTGGCTTTTTGTTGCTTGTTGTCTCAATTTATGGCAAATTGTTGAAATTGTACGGTAATTTGTTTGCCACTGTGTGTGTTCGAGTGTGTGTGCGTGTGTGTGTGAGTGCCGTTTATCTTGCTTCGTTACGCGCTTTTTCAGTTGTTATTGTTTTGCCTTTATCCGCAGGTTTCCTCTTTTTTTATTTACTTGACATGAATGTGTGCATATACATACACACATACTCTCTGACTCTTATATCTGTCTGTGTGCGAGTGTGTGTGTGTGCACAGGACTTCACATTCTGCGTTTGTCATTTTGTATTTAAATGATTTCACATGTGCGTAATTTCATTAAATTTTCACAAAAATTTCTGTGGCATGCAAAATTTATGCCAGAAATATGTGCAGCATTTTAAAGTAATTTACGTTATCAATTTGTATTTGTGGTCTCACGTGTAAGAAATACAATTTGTGTTATGTGCAAATTAAAATGCAGCCACAAATCCCATCACATCCCACTACTTTAGTTATTAACCATGTTTTTACCTAGCCAGATGGCTTGAAAAATCTGATAACTATTTATTTCAATTCCAGTTTTAATAATTTAATCACTAAGGTAGCCAGATGTATATTTATAGAACTCAGTTTATTGCTTTCTTAAATTAAGGTACACATTGTGTTAAACACTCTTTGATGGCGTTTCTTAATAACAAAACAAGAAATTATATAAATTGCTTATAGGTAAAATCTAACAAGAATAATTTGTTATTAGTAGGTTGCCAAAGATTAAGTAATCCCTTTCAGATAAAAAATGTAAATTAGTAATACTTTTTTAAACTGAGCCACACATCAAAAATATTAATAAACATAGGCTTTTTACACCTTTTAAATAAGGTAATTACAGCTTAAATGTTAGTCTCTTAGCTTTAATAGTTTGAACTAAGTCTTCAATCAGTCAGGACCAATAGTTATAATTATATATAGAGATTAATCTCAAAGTTGTCTCCGATTTACCCATTTCATTGAAACAAATATTATAGCTTTAGCAAAGGAGTAAAAACTATACAATTAACTTGTAAATAATACTGTCTAAACCTGTCCGGCCCACAGCTAAGATATCATACTGTGCGATACGCCGCCTTTTGGACTTGAGCTCTCGATGCTCATGTCCACACGGCTATCGCTAGATCAATTGAACAGATTTATTTCTATAAGCATAAACATATGTTCGTTAGTTCCTGTATAAATTGTCAAGAGCAACTGCTGCTGCTGCACTCTCATCATCTCATACATTTGACTTGGGACACCTCTTTTGATGCGAGCTACTTTGGATTGCTGCAGTGCTAATCCGCTCAGTTGGCGCACCTGTTACACTTTTGTCCTTTGTCCTTTGGCTGTTGCAAGGATATCAGCATGCTGGCTGGACATGTCAGCGCCTAGCATCAGCGGATTTGTGTGGACAAGTGCAAAGGCGACATTGATAGACACTGCCGCTGCGCTTTCGCCGCACTAATTAGATTCTAATGTGCAGCAAAATCAGAAGGGCGTTGCAGAAATCACCCTGCCAGGCGACTTATAACTAAATTATAATAGAATTTACGAGTAGTGCGTGCGCTGGCTAAACGAGACGCAAGAGATTCAACCCCAACGCTCGCCTTGACTCACCCCGTGCCTAAAATATGTGCGCGCTTAGCGTGCGGCCTGTCAGGGGATGGCAGGGGAAGGGGCGGGGGTAAGGATTCATTACGTTGGCTACGGCTGCTGCCGCTGGCGGCATATGTTGGCAGTCTTCGGCAGCAGCGGGCGAGCGGAAACCCTTGCCAGGATACTGTGTGCAGCCGCTGCCGCCGTTTGTCAGTCGCTGCTGAGTTGTTGCCGGCGACTGGCGTTTAATTTAATCGGATTTGGGCGGACAATGAAATTATGGCGCCGCTTTGTTGTGCCAGCGATACACATACACAACATAAATGCTTTGTTTTGGCCTAATCTTTGACAGAAGTCAGCATTTGTTGTTTGCCCACTATAAAATGTGTCCAGATTTTTGGCTCACTGCCAGCTTGACTTAAGCACACTTAGCTCAAGTGGCAAGTGCTGCACTCGCTGTCAGTTTATGCTCAAACAACAAGTACTAACTATTTGGTAAGAAAAATATATATTTAAAAATATGTGAATCTCATCAGGCATTGCTGTGTTATGAATATATATACATATAATCGATATACATCGTTATATATATTTCTTCGGGAATTTCGGGAATAATTTCATTCTAAATATAAATATAAATCAAGCTGGAAATCGATTCTTAGCGATTTTAGATAACTTAGATTCCATTATTCGAAACACATTTGATAAAATCTAGAATTTATATGGGTTGCCATTTTAAAACAATTTTTAATGGTGGAGCATTTAAAAATATCTCTTAAATTTGTGTTTTTTTAAAATTTTTAGGAAAAAATTGATATGCTTGTGAATTACAACCCTTCAGTGTTTCTTAGAGTTATATCGGGAATGAAATATTTTATAGTTTAATGTTTAAAAATTATAAACGCAATCATTACTTAAATAACTTTTCTTAAATTACAGCTTGCCATGAATGAGTCTTATATTGTTTTCAGAGTTCAAAGGTACATTTTTAATGAATGAAAAAACGCGTAACTCTATAAATAGCCTGTGTCCCATGCCCGAAGCCTCCAGACATTTAGCGCCCACAGGGGGGGTGTTATCGCCCACTTCGCGAGAATCAGAGCTTACTTTTTCTACCTTTTGTACACAGTTACACGATAAACTAGAATTGATAGCTATTTCTATGAATTCAGCACATAAATGATTATATTGTTCTATTTTTAAGCTACTGCGAATATCCACAAACTTATTTCTACAAATTATGTTATTGATATTTTATATAAGCTAATTAAATGTCTTCACATTTATAGAATTGTGTAACAAGTGTCAGATAATGGCTGGGAGAGTAATTTAAATGACTTAATAGCTTTTAAATTAATATAGTAAGCTGTTCTATTATGGTTTAACAATATTTAAGGAAACTCCCTATTTGAATCAAAACTTGCCCCTTATGATAAATTAATCAGATTTACATTCATTTTAAATACGTTGCCAAAAGCCGTCGGTAAAATCGAGAGCTATTGCCGTTGCGACGGCTTTTATTATGGGGCACGGCCAAAAGTCCTTACAGATTTGGCAACACAGACACTAATACTTACATAGGCCAATTTGCATGGGATGCTGTTCGTCGATCATTTTGGTGGTTTCTCGCAGCCACCAAATGTCCACAAGCACAAACTGTCCACAGGTCTGAACCGACTTATAATTCCGTTCTAATTTTGTTAGTTTTAAATTGAATCACGGTTTGTTTGAGTTGCTTTTGAGGACACTTTTCACGCAGTTTTATGAATGTTATTTGAGGTCGCGTCAGGTGAACTGCAGGTAAATGTGCATCGGGAGTCTTTCGAATGGCTGAGAGTGGCCAGCGTGAAAGGTATCGTCAGGCCAGTTACGAAACGCGATGCTTGAATGATTACGGACCTCTGATGTTAATGAAATTTGTTAAAAATCATTTGCTCCGTTCGGCCAGACGTGGCTATCGACTGCTGTGCTCGAAGCAGGACATTTTCTCAAAATGGAGGAGAAATGTCTCTGTGTGTGAGTGTGCTTGTGTGTGGGTGCGCCCCCAAAGCGAGGCAACGCCATTTTATCCGGCGTTTGTAACAACATTTCCTATGCGCCCTTCCAACCCCAACACCAACCCCAGCCATGTTCATGTACGTGCACACAAGCAGAGGCCAGTGGGTTTCCCCGCTTCGTGAGATTCGCCAGTTGGGCGCATGCGCTGATCCTGGACCCGTTCTCGTTCTCGTTCTCGTTCCCGTTCCAGGATTCGGCTTGCATTTTGGGGGCGCTTGTTGGGTTTTGCTTTTGTTTTTGCACTTTTGACTTTTGTCTTTGTTGCCATTCGGTTTGTTGTTGTTGTTATTGTTGTTGTCGTGCTTTTATTTGATTTGTTGTACGTATTTTGTATTGACAAAGGATGTTTGGCTCGGCGATTTTTTGCTGCGTCTCAGCAGCAACAACAACAACAACACGAACATCCCTGAAGAGAATTTTCTCTAGCATTGAATCTATGGCAGGGCCATGCGTTCTTTCTGATGTTTTTTTTTCTATTGTCATACAATGTTTTAAATTTATTGATTTTTAATGCTGCTGTTAAAGTCTCTGCTTTAATTGGGTGCCCATTTCAACGCCCGCTGCCCCCCCCGCCCAAAGCTTCGCTGTTCTGTTTTGTGTAGTTGGCCGTGTTAATGACTGATAAATGTCGGCGCGGGCTGCCGACACTTTAAACTTTGGCCAGATGAATTTGGTCTATTTAACGAGCTGGCTGGCCAAACTTTAATGTCTAAGCTGGAATGGCCGTCTCTCGTCTGGCTTGGTCTAGCCGGTTGACTGGTTGACTGGATGCCTGACTGCCTGACTGCCTGACTGCCAGCCTGCATGCCGGTCTCTTGTTTTCCGAGGGAAATTCTCTTAAAGTTGTAAACGTGAACGTGTTACTCACAATTAGTGCAGGCGGGCGGGCCACTTAGTTGGCATTTACTTTCGGTGGCAGCTTCTTAGCCATCTTCGCCCCGCTATCCGACCTGCTTGCCTTGTGGATGGATAATCCCCATAATTATGTGTTTGCTACTTTTTATAATTCATTATCACTGCCGCGGCACATGATGTTTTGTTCTTTTAATTGTGCTTCCCCTTGACTGTGGCTGCTATTCGGTGAATAGAAAACTATATTTTTGTAAGATGTTAGATTTTACGTATGTTAAGTCTATTTATATATTAACATAAAATATATTTTTAGGATTTTCAAATTAGCTACATAAGTTAAAATCGGAGGTTAGTTAGCTATAGTTCTTAAATTAATTCTGTAATAATAATAACAGCAAATGTAGCAAAGAGCTAAGGATATAGAAATTTTGACTTCGCTATGAAAGTCTAGGAAAAGCTGTTACTATGGATTGGGGATATCTAGGGTGAAAATCCCAAAAAGGTATTTGGCAACAACGCGAAAGCCTTGATTCATTTATTTACTTCCGCGAGCATGTAAGGCCGGAAGGGTTTGTGTAAAAGAAGGGCCTAATAGCCGCGTAAGTAGTCGTCTCTTTGTAGATAAAGATCAGCTATTTATTCGATTTGCTTATGCAGGTAACTCGAAGACTGGCTCTGATCCTGTATTTATGCAACCCAAGGGCCTGACGATGTACTATGAACCGCTGTCCAACATTAACAATGAATTTATAAGCGGTAAGCTTTCAAATATTTTGTGTTCATTCAGGTATTAATGAATTGTTTCCACAGCATCGAAGAGATACGTGATTTGCATACCCTGTAGGTGCCCGCTGACTTTTGATTCGGGATGTCTAGGGCAAAAATCTGCAAAATTAGCTTTGACAGGAAAATAAACGTAATAATCTGAACATTTACCATATGTAATATCTCATAAAAAGTGGTAGGCATATGACAAAGTTATAGCAATATATTTATGCGTTCATTCATTTTTGATAAGAAAAAAAAACTAAACAATCTGCAAGTTAAATTCTGGCCAAATTTGTTTCTTTAAAAAATCAGTACAGATTTTACAAAGCTACGGATATGGCTTATACTTATGATATAACATTTTGCAAAAAATATTCAGAAATAGTTTATCTGGCAGTTGAGAGCGCAATGTAGTATATCTTGGCCAAGCACAAAGAAATTAAATTTTTAAAAGCTCCTAATTGTAGCTTAAACGATCACTCTTATTAATTTTTTGCAGTGTGCGAAGCTTTTGTTATCACGCGTTAATTTAATGACAAACATGTGCTCAAGTGTGTATGTGTGTGGGTGTCTGTAAGTATTGGTAGGCGAATACAATCAAGAGAAGCTATGAATTATGCCGAGTCATATAAATAAAGCATTTTTTTGCCCGATATATTCATTGTGACTGGGCAGCTTTTTAAGCACAGAACATTTTGCTAACAATGACTGAGGAAAACAACATTCAAGATATTTGTTTTGCCTGCCCAACGAGGTGCCAGGCGAGGTGCGAGGCGATGATAAGCAATAAAGTGTGAGAGAGAGAGAGAGAGAGAGAGAGAGAGAGAGAGACTAGATGCCGATCTACAGTTATTTCTTGATCTTGCCTAACAATTTGTTTTGTCTCTCACCTAGCTTCGCTCCATTCGTATATAAAGGCGCGGCGAGCTTGCAGTTATTTTTAGTTTGAGCGGCGCACTGGTCAGAAGCAGTCGCAGTAGATAACTGTTAACAAAATGTCTCTAATCAAAGCGCGACAAATCGCATTGGCTGGCGCCAGATCTGTGCATGCCGCCACAGCATTCAACGTGAGCTAAATCCGATGAAGGGTGTACGGGAATGCATGAAATTAAACAATTTGAACTCTTCTTACAGCCGTCCGATGATGTTGCTGCTGCGCAGGCGCGTCCCTTTAGCGAGGTGCCGCGACCAAGCACGGTAAAGTTCCTGCGCGGCTTTATGCCCGGCGGAGAGTTTTATGACACTTCGTTTTTGGATTTTGCCATCACCATGCGCAAGCGGTATGGCGACCTCTTTATTATGCCTGGTTTTTTTGGACGCAAGGATTTTCTGGCCACCTTCAATACCAAAGACATTGAGACGGTGTTTCGCAACGAAGGTGTTTGGCCAATTCGCGAGGGCATCGATTCATTGGTTTACTTCCGCGAGAAAATAAGGCCGGAAGTGTTTGGGGAGTTGAAGGGCCTAATAGCCGCGTAAGTAGTCGCATGTTTATAAAAAATGATCAGCTGTTCATTCGATCTGTTTATGCAGGCAACACGAGGGCTGGGGCAAGTTTCGATCGGCTGTGAACCCTGTATTAATGCAGCCCAGGGGCCTGAAAATGTACTATGAACCGCTGTCCAACATTAACAATGAATTTATTGAGCGGTAAGTTTGCAAATATTTATGATCATGCATCATGATTATTAATGAATTGCTGCCACAGCATCAAAGAGATACGCGATCCACATACCTTGGAAGTGCCCGCTGACTTTGATCAGGAAATAAGCCGTCTGGTTTTCGAGTCGATTGCATTGATTGCCTTCAATCGTCAAATGGGCATCATACGCAAGAACCGTGATAATCCCGACGCCTTGGGTCTGTTCAAATCGTCACGACAGATATTTCAGCTTTCCTTTAAGCTGGACATACAGCCCTCACTTTGGAAATTCGTGTCCACCCCCACCTTCCGTAAACTGATGCGCATTCTTAACGAGAGTGTGGATATTTCACAGCGTCTGATTGAGGAAGCCCGGCTGGAGGAGGAGCGGCGACTACAGTCTGGAGATAAGAGCGTCAACAACAGCATGATGCAGCGACTGATAAATATTGATCCCAAGGTGGCAGTCGTTATGGGTCTGGACTTGCTTTTAGCCGGCGTGGATGCATCTAGCACATTTTTGGGTGCCCTGCTGCTGTGCCTGAGCAAGAACCAGGATAAACAGCACAAGCTACGCGCTGAGCTGCTGCGAGTGATGCCAACCAAAGAAACGATTCTGGATGAGGAGAGTATGAAGGATATGCCATATCTGCGTGCCGTTATCAAGGAGGCCCTGCGCTATTATCCCAACGGAGTGGGCACCTTCCGCATCTGCACAACGGACGTTACCCTTTCTGGTTATAATATACCCAAAGGTACACAGATTTTGCTCGGTTCGAATGCTCTGATGAAGGAAGAAGCGTATTTTCCACAAGCAAACCAGTTCCTGCCCGAACGTTGGCTGCGTGATCCCGAGACGAACAAAAAGATAGATGTCACTCCGTTTACCTACCTGCCCTTTGGCTTCGGGCCTCGCATGTGCATTGGCAAGCGTGTGGTGGATCTAGAAATGGAGACCTCGCTGGCCAAATTAATACGCAACTTCCATGTAGAGTTTAACTACGATGCATCCAAGCCATTCAAATCATTATTCCTTATGGAGCCAGCCATCCCGTTCCGCTTCAAGTTCACCGACGTGGACAAGTAATGCGAACCAACAAGCCAAAGCCTTTGCCTAAGATTGTACATATATTATTTAGTCAAGCAATTCCTGAAGTACTTAAAGTATATAAAAACTATGTTTAACATAAGTATATATACGAGCATCATAACTTCGACTAAGCAGAGTCCGGTGTTGGGGCGATTTAATTGATACGTACATATTATCGGGATGTTTGTCTTCACATGGGAATGGCACCGATATTTCGGGTTTATTTTAATTATTTCATGTCTCGAACGATTCTAAAGCGATGTACGAGTGAACTTGAATTTTTCACGCCTCGAGCTGTGCAGACGACAACAGTGGCTGTCGTCAGTCGACCCTCGCTCCCTCTTCACACTGCAGCAACAAAAGTTTTGCCACTTTGTCGACGCGTAGCCTAGCCATAGACAAGTCAAGGTTTTGTATGCGACTCCCTTGCGCTGTTGCTGTGTCTGTCAGCCGAGTTCTACATTGCTGCCGGCGCACACTTGCTCCCGCTAATGACTAAGATTAATTTGGGTCACTGTGCTGCCCGGCTGCACCCTCCCGCCTTCAACCCGCCGCGCGTGCTACCATAGAAACGTGCGTCAGTTATGAGCGCCTAACTCGTGCCTTTCAAATGAATGAATGCGGATGCAGCTACTCTGATTGCATGCGTTTATGCCTTGAACAATCAGTGCGAACTATGAACTACATATTTAATAAATCAATATTCAAGGTATTTAAATAGACATAATCATATACTTAATCAATATTTTTCTAGACAAAGCTGGTTTTCAGCGATAGACTAGAAACATACATGCATCGAAACAGACAGACGGATATTTCTACATCGACTTTGGCTGTTGATTCTGATCAATATTATATATACTTTATATGTTGAAAATTTTGTAACAAATTTGTAATACCCTTTTAATCATAGAACAAGCACACGAGAGTTTTTCAGAATAAGAAAAACATGAATTTCATCGCATAAACTTTGTATAGGATACTCGCATATTATACATGCGACTAATATGCGTGTTTGTTTGTGACGGTGCTAGTTTATGTGTATGTGTGTTAAGCTGCGTGGGTGCTAGTGTGTGTGTGTTTGTGTGTCGATGTCAGGCAGCCAAACAGCTGAAATTGTTTGGGGTTAATTAAGCGCGACATATGTGGCATTGTATGCATTTGTGCAGCGACTGTGGCTGCGACTGCAACTGCGACTCCGACTGCGATTGTGACCCCCGACTCCAACGGTTGGCGCACGCCCACAAGTGTGAATAGGCCCCGGCAGCTGGGGGGCTTCGGGCGCTAAACAATGCCCCATAATAGACAAATTACGGGCCGCGTCGGTTCATTATGTTGCAATTGCGACCGCTGATGCATTTATGAAGCTGCAAAGCTGCAGCGCGTGACTATGTGCTGGTAAATTGATTTATGAGTCGAGTCGTGTTCCAGCCATGCCCGCTAGCGCCGCCCCCTGGCCTGGAACCTGTTGAGCTAATCGGGTGGGTCAGCAAAATAAATACATTTTTATGTATTTTATATGTATTTATTATTGCTGCCAAAAAAAGCGCACGGCCTGGAATCGGAGAATAAATAAAATACTTGGCATTACAAATTGTTGCGATTTATTTTTTTTGGCCCAACGCCCGCATCCAAATCCCAAAGGGCTGCCAAACGCCGTGGGGCGTAACGCGTGGCGACAAAAGTAACGCAAAATTATGCGTTTGCTGCTGACCAGCACAAGGACCAAGGACCAAGGACCAAGGGCCGTGGGCGTCCTTGTTGTTATTCCACGCCGGCAACAGGCCTAAAAAATAAACAAAATCATTCACCTTAAGGCATAATAAAAGTTTATGGCTGACAATATACATAAAGAGGACGCGCCACTGCTTGGCAGTGTTTCGTGTGGTCTGGCAAAACAAAGCCTGGGAAGTTTGTGCGGAAATCCCTATATGGGTGTGTTAAACGCCATTAAAGGATTTGCTCTTGGATAGAGCCGACGTCAATATTTACCGCCAGTTGGCTGGCTGGCTGGCTGACTGCGTTTCCAATAACCATTACGGAATTGCGAAAATTTGCGCACAGCTTCGCACAGCGGGCAAAAACAAATAGTTGTGCACACTACAAATACAACACTTCCTTGGCACTGTCCCATTTAATGGTTGACTCTTCTGGATGGGGATTGGGCATCGAAGAGTCATATCAGCACCAACGTCTGTCTCCGTCTGTCGCTCAGCGTGTGACTGCCAAGGATCTGAGTTTGCCTTCAATTTATAAGATTTTAAGTCCTGTGCGGCTCTCGCTTGATGCCGATTTGTTGCTTATAACCTCCTCGCGTCTCTTCCGACGATTATCGCAAATCCCTTCTTAAAGGATTTTTGCATCATCGTCGGCGGCACAGCGCTTGCAGCCCCATTGTATTTGGCGCTGTAAACTCTTTTTTATTTAACAAGTTTTTTACATCTGCGGCTTTATGATAATGTCTCTGCGTGGGTAGCTCGCTTTTCATTTTTGCTTGCCTAATGCTCCTTTCAGAATTTAATCTCTCTTTTTAGCTAATATAATAATAATACTCTTAAAAATATAAAACCCCATTGCTCACATTTGATCCACAAATGAAGTCAGATATAGATGTAGATATATAAATTAAATTATTTTGAATAAATTGTATACAAAGTTTTGGATATTTCTATCCAGATACCACTTTACCCATTTTGGCATGGAAAAATGTTTGAATACATTTTTTTTATTATTTGTTTCTTTTTGATTTTAATTGTTTACGGTTTTCAAGGCATACATAAAATGCCATCAATCGTTTTCAAACAAATTCTTTTTGGTTTTTAATTCAGTTTTACTTTCGGATAGCGTATTTTAAAGCTTCAGAAGCTACAAATTCTGTTGCTTCTGTTTGCAAATGGATCAAGGATATTTACCGATGGCACGGGCTAGATATTCCTGAGATATGTAAACAGCACTGAACGCAAACAGTTCAAATCAAATAACACACACAAAAACGCTATAAAAAAGCAATGCTCACACACACAGACCAATATATATAAACATATATATATATATTTACAAGATGTATGTAGGTATGTGCACACACATAGATGCACACACTCAGGCAAGATACAGGCAAACAAGCGTTAGGCACACAAAATGAGCAAGCGACTAACCTAAGGACAACAAAATAAACATTTTGAACTCAACTGAAATGCGAAAGCGCAGCCCCAAGGACACTTGGGGCGTTCGCGCCGCCCGTCGTCCGCCTGCCGCCTTCCGCCATCTGCCGGGCCAGAGGGCCGCTTCCCTTGTAAAGGCTAAGCGCAAATATTACAAGCATTATATGAATGTCTATGCTTATGTTAGTGTCTGCGTGTGTGTGTGTGTGTGTCCATGTATTTAGAAGCCAGCAACATGCTGAGCCAACAACAACAACAACAACAGCAACAACAGCACTCTGGGTGATGCCAACAAAAGTGTAGAAAATCCGACCAAGCACAAAAACCGACTCAGCACATTTCGGAACAACCAAACACGCAGTAAACCCTAACAGCCCACACAGCTCCGACCTCAACAGCGGCAGCAGCAACAGCAACAACAACAATAACAAAAGCAACAGCAATGGCATCGCCAGCTCAGGCTCAGCAAGTCATCAGCACATAAAGCTCGAAAGATTATGTAGCCCACGGCGGTGGCAGCCGCACCCACCGACGAGCGGCTGCGGAAGTGATGCATGGCTATTGATGGGGCACATCGGGGGGCAGTGGGGCTGGGGCCGGGGCGCTGTGGTATTAGACGACAATAGAGCTTTGGGGTTGGGCATTCTGGCTTGCCTTTTTGTGCGCCAAGCCTTGTGACGTTTGACGCCATGTTTGATGGATGAAAAAGCCATTCATGTTACCAGCTGGGGCACAGAGGTTGCTCGGTTGGCTGTCGCTCAATGTGTGTGTTTGTGTGTACGTGTAACAGTGTGTGTGCGTGTGTGTGTGTGTGTGTGTATGCAAAGATGGCGCAATAGACGTGAAGTAACCACCTCCTGTGGCGCAACTAAATCCTTTTGGATTTTACCCGGCCAGCGCAGTATGTTTTAATGCGCATTTTATGAGTGTGTAGGTAAACGCTAAGCTGGCGCTGGATCGCTTGCCAGGACGCAAAAGCTTAAGGGCGGGAGAGGAGGAGGGGCTCTTTAAAGTGCAAAATCGCTGGTTAAAGTTCTTTGGCACTTGTTTGTTTTGTTCATGTGTGCCCCACGAGCAACGAGCTGTGTGCTGCTCCCCTTTTTGACTTTTGGCAGTGCCAACTGTCGACCTGTCAGCTGCATGCGAACCAAAGTCAACAGCAGCCAGAGTCCCCGCTTGAGTCGCTTGACATTTGGCAAATTTCGTTGCATAAAACGCAGGTGGCAGCAACTGCTGCAACTGAACGCCACGCCCACCTGGGCTGTGGGGCGCGGCATTAGCATAATTTTGCATAGAGCCAGCTACTTTGGCTCGGGGCGCATATTTCACGCAAGTGCTGCATATTTTTGGGCGGGCGACACTTAAAACTCAAAATGAAGTCGCTCGGGTTTCCGGACTAGTCCCTGGCCACATGCAAATCCGGTGTGAAAAATGCGCGTATTAATAAATGTGTGTAGATGAGCCACTCGGCCACCCGCCCACTCTGGCAGTCATTTGCTGGGAAGCACTCGCACTTTTTTTTTCCTTATTTTTCACTTTTTTATTTCCGACTGCTTAGCACGGCAATTTACATTTCAAATTAGCGACTTCATTGCTAGAAATTGTGGAATTACTTTTCATTTTCATTTTCATTATAAGGCCTGCTCTCGAAAAGTTTTGCGGCTGCCACTTGGTGTCAACTGCGGCCCAAAATACGAGCCGTATTTAGCTGGATTTGGGCTTACGGCTGGGACAGTGGGGTCCACTCGGCGTTGACTGCTGCGCTTTTGCTATGCTAATAAATTAATATAAATTCAAATTTGTTTGCCAACTGCTGCCGTCTCGGGCTGCCAAAGTGTTATGTTTGTCAAAAAGGCCAAAAATCTACAGCAACATTTTTCTAAATGGCTGCCAAAGTTCTCATAAAAATCGCCAATGAAACAGGCAGCCCCCCCTTCAAATG